GTGTGTGTGTGTGTGTGTGTGTGTGTGTGTATATGTGTATATATATATAGTGTGTGTGTATTGTCTTTGTGTGTGTATATATATATATATTGTGTATATATATCCAGCTCGGTATATCTTCAGCTGTGTTTATCTACAGCTTCATATATCTACATCTCTTTGTATCTACCTCTGTGCATATCTCCAGGTCTGCATATCTCCATCTTTGAAGAGCTCCAGCTTCATATATCTACCTGTATATATATGTCCAGGTCAGTATATCTTCAGCTCTGTATATATCTAGCTTCATATATCTTCATCTCTATGTATCTACCTCTCTGAATATCTCCAGCTCTGAATATCTCCAGGTGTAAATATTTCCATCTATCAATATTTCCACCTCTGAATATCTCCAGCTATTAATATCTTCACCTCGGAATATCTCCAACTCTGTATAGCTCCAGCTCTGAATAACTGCAGCGCTCAATATCTCCAGCTTTATATGTCTAGCTGTCTATATATTTGCACCTCTGCATGTGTCCACCTTCATAGATCTACATCTCTATATCTGTACCTCGCTGAATATCTCCAGCTTTGAAGAACTGCAGCTTCATATGTCGACATGTCTATATATGTCCAGATCTAGGTATCTCCTGATTCATATGCCTACATCTCTATATATGTCCAGCTCTGAATATCTCCAGCTTCATATATGTACATCTCTAGATTTCTCCAGCTCTACATATCTGCAGATTCATACCTCTACCTATTTATATATCGACCTCTCTGAATATCTCCAGCTCTGCATATCTCAAGGTCTAAATATCTTCAGCTCTGAATATCTCCAGCTCTGAATAGCTCCAGCTTTCTGTATCTACCTGTCTATATATCTCCAGCTCTGCACGTCTCCAGCTTCATAGATCTACATCTCTATATATTTACCTCTCTGAATATCTCCAGCTTCATATAGCCACCTGTATAGATATATCCAGCTCTGTCTATTTTCAGCTCTGCATATGTCCAGCTTGAAATATCGACATCTCTATATATCGACTTCTCTGAATATGTCCAGCTCTGAATATCTCCTGTTCTAAATCCTTCCAGCTATCAATATCTCCAGCTCTCAATATCTTGAGCTCTGCATTTCTCCGGATATGAATATCTCCAGCTTTATGTGTCTACCTGTCTATATATTTCCACCTCTTCATATCTCCAGCTTCATAGATCTACATCTCTATATATTTACCTCTCTGAATATCTCCAGCTTCATATAGCCACCTGTATATATATATCCAGCTCTGTCTATTTTCAGCTCTGCATATGTCCAGCTTGAAATATCGACATCTCTATATATCGACTTCTCTGAATATGTCCAGCTCTGAATATCTCCTGTTCTAAATCCTTCCAGCTATCAATATCTCCAGCTCTCAATATCTTGAGCTCTGCATTTCTCCGGATATGAATATCTCCAGCTTTATGTGTCTACCTGTCTATATATTTCCACCTCTTCATATCTCCAGCTTCATAGATCTACATCTCTATATCTGTACCTCGCTGAATATCTCCATTTTTGAATAACTCCAGCTTCTTATGTAGACATCTCTATATATGTCCAATTCTCGGTATCTCCTGATTCAGCTGCCTACATCTCTGAATATCTCCAGCTCTGAATATCTCCAGCTCTGAATATCTCCAGCTCTGAATATCTCCAGCTCTGAATATCTCCAGCTCTGAATATCTCCAGCTCTGAATATCTCCAGCTCTGAATATCTCCAGCTCTGAATATCTCCAGCTCTGAATATCTCCAGCTCTGAATATCTCCAGCTCTGAATATCTCCAGCTCTGAATATCTCCAGCTCTGAATATCTCCAGCTCTGAATATCTCCAGCTCTGAATATCTCCAGCTTCATATATGTACATCTCTAGATTCCTCCAGCTCTACATATCTCCAGATTCATACCTCTACCTATTTATATATCGACCTCTCTGAATATCTCCAGCTCTGCATATCTCAAGGTCTAAATATCTCCAGCTCTGAATAGCTCCAGCTTTCTGTATCTACCTGTCTATATATCTCCAGCTCTGCACATCTCCAGCTTCATAGATCTACATCTCTATATATCTACTTTCCTGAATATCTCCAGGTGTAAATATCTGGAGCTCTGAAGAGATCCAGCTTCATATATAGAGAGCTGTATATCTATCTATATGCAGCTCAGTATATCTTCAGCTCTGTATAGCTCCAGCTTCATATATCTACATGTCTACATATGTCGAGCTCTATATACCTCCAGATTCATCTCTCTAAATCTCTATGTATCTACCGCTCCGTATATCTGTATATATATTGTAGGGGGATTTAGGAACTTTTTGATTCGACTGGCGTGTTGCGGGACCTGTGGAAAATTGTGTGGGGATTGGGTAAAAGTCGGCCTACGCGGATGTGGTGTGTGAGGGAAATGGCGTGGGCATTTGGAAAGCTTTCTTGACGGCACGTGATGGCTTTTGCGTGGGAAAGTGGTCATTTTGTGTGGGGATTGATTTCAGCACTCTTCATGGGAATGTGCTGGGCCGGCCCCCGGGCGTCATTTCCTCGACTGCGGTGCGGTAAGCGGTGCGTGCGTTTTCATTCCCGTGAAAGTGTCTGACGAGGGTCTGCCCTTTCCCGCAGGCTCCTCCTCGTGCCCCCGTCCTTGGAGCCAGCGTCTCAGCGAGGGGCCGCAGCGTGACAGGAGCGGGACATGGGGCAGAAGGGCCCCCGGGACGTGTCGTGTCGTGTGGCGTCTGCAAGGGTCACTCTGGGCAGTCCGAGGTGTGTGCGGGGCCTGCAGCCGTCCCTTGGAAGCAGCCAAGGCCCCACGGGCGACAGGTGAGTAGGTCTTTCTGCTTTGACACGCTCAGCGGACGCTCAGCTTCTGCCTGGATGCACATCACCACGTAGCCTGCTCCAGCGCTAACACATCCAGTCATGCCAGCTCTTGCCTCTACTGCTGGCAGCACCCTCCCAAAACAATGAGCTGCACGTGGGCTGTGTGGTGGGAGAAACCTCGCTAAGGTTCGTTGTCTAGCTGTAATTTGATTGACAGACAACGCGGGTAAAGAAAGACAGCTGTTTATTTGCTCGAGCAAAGACCATAAAGCCAGCAAAAGGCAAAATGGCCCCCCCCTAAGGGTGAGGGGATCTTTTATACTTACTACAACAAGGCAAGACTTCATGGTTAACAAAAAAAGCAATACTTGGGCGGTGCTTTTCAAATCTTTGTAACAGCATATTTCTATTAAGCTGAACTAGCACTTTTTAAAAGCTGAAAGTTAAGTAACAGTAACATTATAATATGTTAGCAAAACCTTACACAGTAGTAGATACTTCTCAAGGACACAACCACTGCACCCAGAACAATGGTTTCCCTGTCTTATCTTACTTCTTGCTGTAGCTGATTTTTCAGCACACAGACACAGATCCACGTTTTAACTCAGAAAATGCTTAATACAGTTAAAATGATTACTTGACACAAGCAAAGGCTTAGCTCTCAATCTGCCTTGGGGTCAGCTGCATTGCTAGGCCACAGGTCATGCCTTGTATTCAGCTGTAAAGCTAATACTTCTTAATAATCTAAATTATTGTAAACCTAACAGTATGCTATCAGAAAACTATTCTATTTCAGGGTAATAACAAACTTGCTCACCACACGGTGAAGTGCAGTGAGCCATCAGCTGTTTCAGTCCAACTCGCCGCGCCGGAGGTGGAGAATTACTCTAACAAATTATAATTGTGAACGGACATTTTGAAAAAGGAACCGGGAGCTAGAGCCGCGCCTGCCTCTCCCTGTAGATTTGCTGAGGCGGGGCAGTGCCACCGGTGCCTGCCCCAGGGCTCTGCCCGGACCTGCCCTGGGCCCTAGCTCCACAGCGTGGGAAGGGGCACAGGGCTGGCACGGAGGGGCTGCAGCAGCGTGTCGCCAGGCACAGAGCCGGCTGGCCGGAGGGGCACAGCTGCAGTGGGATGCCGGCGCCATCGATCACGTCCCCGTACGTGCTCAGCAACTCCCGGCGTTTCAGCTCGGCCCCGGGACCTGCCGACCAGCAGAGGGGAGAGCGGCAGGGCCTGGCTGGCCATGACTGTGGGCTGCAGCCACCTCCCGTGGCTCAGGACGGCCCCCACTACCCCGTGCCCAGCCTGGCCAGGCCTGGTCCTGCTCCCTGCACCCCACCGCCCTCCACACGGCCCGGTACAGCCCCGGCCACGCCACCACGGGCCGGGGCTTTCCGTGGTCACCTGTCCAGGAAGCTCCCAGCCAGCACAGCTCAGGATCCCTCCCACCAGCACCCACCACCTCGACCCCAGGGCACTGGGGCAGGCAGCTGGTGAGAGGCACGATGCTGCAGGGACCCCGGGAAGCTCCCTGGAGCGGCCCCAGGAGCTGTGAGCAGTGGAAGCCGGGCAGGCTTCCTGGATGGAGGGGTCAGGCTGGGTGTAGCCAGCTCCTCCTGGCTGCAGCGGTCAGCGCCAGGCCCCAGTCCTTGTCGCCAGTCCCTCTCGGGCTCCTGCTCTGGCACCCAGCACTCACCCAGCTCCCCACTGGTGATGGAGAAGTCCCTGGGCAGCAGGGCCCATTTTTGCACAAGGTGGGCACGGGACGGGTGTCACAGGCCAGCTGGGCACTGCGAGTGTATCAATTTTGGATCGAGGAGGCAAAGTTGGGAGTGGAATAAAGGCAAATGTATTATAGCTTACACACACGCAACAGTTAACAGAAAGATAACTGCGATAAGCAGGTAAGGCAATACAAAAGAGCTGATAGTAAAATAATAACAACAGATAATAATAACAGATAGCTAGATAGATCAATCTGTCACAGGCCAAGTGGGCACTGCGAGGGTATCAACCACTGGGCTGCTCAAAACAACAGAGAGACAGACATGGGTTGGCAACTTATCGATAGTCCCTCAATGCCAGGTGCGCGCCAAGTGGTTCCAGCGAAGTCAGGCGTCCCTGAAGATCAACGCTGTCAGAGGGCTTACCGGGGAAGGGCCCTTGCTCAGGATCCGATCCTCACTCACACCGGGAGTCCGGGGTCCAGGCGTGGGACAGAAATGACCGTTCTGTTCCCTCCTTCCTGCTGGTTACCTGATGCATGTGTTTTTTATACCTAGTTTTATGCTAATCTGTTGGCTTCAGGGCCACTCACAATCTTGCCCTATAGCTGTTACCCTGTGGGATTGAAAGGTGTCAAAATCATCACAAAAGGTTACTACCCAGACTCGGGTTTATCCAATAAGCAAATTATGATGCAGCACATTTAGGTTTGAAATTGACATTGCTCCGCCTAAATCCCAACCCCTTTTAGGCT